GGTGAAAATGGATGACAACAACAACAAAAAACCCAAATGAAAACCTGGATAACCATTTTATAGGTCTAAAAATTATACTACAGAGTGAAATTTAGCTATTAAAAGAATATGTTCACGACTTATTGCTCAGGAAATAATCACTTCGCAGTATACGATATGCATTTTACTCTGATGTGTTTGCCTTTTGAACATACCTAGCAGACCTGGATGATCAGTAGTTATTACTCTGGTAAGATTTGGGAATTAGGAGAAGAAAAAATTTCCTTTTATATTGCCATATTCTTCCTTTGTTACAATAAGCATATCTTACTGTTGTAATGAAAAAAAAAAAAAAAAGAATAATAGAGAAGTTGAAGCACAGGGAACAAGGAACATGATGTTGAACAGAGTTGAAGACCAAGCTGCTTGGGATATAATTGAAAGAACTACAGATGTTTGGTCTGGAAAAATCAGGACTCTAGGAGGAATGCTAGTCTTCAATCTCTTAAAAGACTTGTTTTTCAAAGGAAAGGAATTGGATTCACATTCCTGCTTTTGGAGGCAGAGGTAACAGCTGTGGATGTATGCTGTGAAGACATTTCAGCCTACCGTGAGGAAGGATGTACTGAGGGTCCAATTTATTTGCAGCAGGGAACTGATGATCTGGCTATTCTTTGGAACCCCAATCTACCTGCAAACCATGGTGCACCACTCCAGGCAGCTGTACCTTGGGCAATGTCGTCCTGCCTCTGCAGGCAGGGCCGCTCCACCTTGTGCCCAGGCTGGGGCAGCTCCCGCTCAGGCTGCTTGGGGCACCTCCCTTCATTGAACACATGTGGCAGGTTGGCTGTGTGCACCTGTCGGAGTTGCTCATAGTCGCTTAGAGCAGCTGTCAGGTCCCAGTTTTTGCCTATGGATTAGAATGACAAGAATTATTATTAAGCCTATTAATGCATGAATAATGATATCATTGAAGAAAAGAACCATGGCAAGAAAGGGTGCCCATTGGTGCATTAACTAATGACCTTCTCACCAGTAGTTCTCATTTTTCAAGGGGGTAATTGTCTTCTGCAGTCTTTGAAAGTAGAATTTTTTACCCACAAATAATGACCTGAAATATGTGAATTTCTAGTCTCTAGTCTCATCTCCCCCCCCCCACACACACATTATGTGCCTAATTATCCTATCCTATCCCCCTTTGAAAATGGCAAGGCAGAACATCAAAGTGGCATGGCGTTGATTTGAGACACTTACAATGTAATCTGGAGGACTTGTTAAGCCACATACTAGGCACATACCCACACAGATAGATGCTGACCTTGGGGGCTGTGCTGGACCAGGACTCTGGAAGGAAGTTCACTAGCCTTTGTAATAGTTGTGAACTCTCCACCACCCTGCCAGAGGCTGAGATCCTGTCCTATCCTTCTCTTAAAAACTCTTTTCACACCAGTCATGATTCCTGACAAAGTGAGGTAATTAATGCCCCATTTTGCATTCTAAGTTATAAAAGGAGCTCCAATATTCTAAAACCTTGGAGCATATTTTGAAGGCTACAAATTTGGTGTCTCCCATTGCAACCCTAATAAACCCCAAATAAATGTAATTTTTCTTTTTTTTTTTTTTTTTTTGCTCCCAAGCTGTATGCTCTCTGTTAAATTCTCTGATTGTTTTTTTGCTGAGAAGCTTTTTAGTTTGAATCCATCCCAATTGATTCTTGATATTAATTCTTGTGCTAGAGGAGTCTTATAAAGGGAGTTGGGGCATAATCTGACATGATAGAGATTTGGGCCTACTTTTTCTTCTAATAGACACAGTGTCTCTAGTTTAACTCTTAGGTCCTTGATCCACTTTGAGTTAAGTTTTGTGCATAGTGAGAGATAGGATTTAATTTCATTTTGTTGCACATGGATTTCCAGTTTTCCTAGCACCATTTGTTGAAGAGGCTCTTTTCTCCACTATATGTTTTTGGTGCCTTGTCTAATATAAGATAACTGTAGTTATGTGAGTAGGTCTCTGTGTCCTCTAATCTGTACCACTGATCTACCAGTCTATTTTGGTGCCAATATCATGCTGTTTTTGTTACTAGTACTCTGTAGTATAGTTTATTTATTTATTTTTTTTAATTTTTTTTATTGGTTGTTCAAAACATTGTAAAGCTCTTGACATATCATATTTCATACATTAGATTCAAGTTGGTTATGAACTCCCAATTTTACCCCAAATACAGATTGCAGAATCACATCGGTTACACATCCACATTTTTACATAATGCCCTATTAGTAACTGTTGTATTCTGCTACCTTTCCTATCCTCTACCATCCCCCCTCCCTCCCCTCCCATCTTCTCTCTCTACCCCATCCACTGTAATTCATATCTCTCCTTGTTTATTTTCCCATTCCCCTCACTCTTAATTAACTACCTTGATTTTCTCTTAGTTGGGAGGAATAAAGCATAAAGTAAAAAAGAAAATAAAAAGAAACAGAATTCCAAAGTTTCTTTGTTTTTTTCTATTATTATTATTATTATTAATTTTAACCTTAACATGGGAAAAGCAGCAGCTTGGGAGATATTCCGATCTTAACAGCCTTAGTCACAGGCTGTGTGTGGGGAGAGATGTCCAGTTTAGTGCACAGGCTCACAAATCACAGTCCCTGCCCACCAGGTGCTGCATTGACACTTCACAGTGTCTATAAAAATGGTAAAAGGTGGAAAGTAGAATCATTTGCAGTTGTCTCAGCTGTAATACATGGGAATACAAAGACAACGTTTAAAGTTGACATAGCAAATATACATGAAAGCGTGTTTAATGGTACAAAGCCAACAGTAAAATGGAGAAAAGATATTCTACTGATTTAAGAAGGGATTGGAGGAGAGAGAGAGTGAGGAGGATATAGAAAGAAGACACAAACCCATTTCATTGAAGAATATCATAGAGAATGAATTAATATGTCTAAAAAAAGGAAATAGTATATTATGTAGACTTTTAGAAAGTAAACGTTATTAATAAACAATTTTTCTAAATAGCAGAAAAATATTTTTACATAAAAAGCTAAGAGAACATGAAAGACATTTGAAATATTTTTATTGGTGCACTATAATTACAAACAATAGCGGGATTTGTTCCTACCTATTTGTACATGCACACAATATAACAATATAATTTGGTTAATTTCATTCCCTAATATCTCCCTTTCCTATTCTTACTCCTCTCTTCTGGTCCCCTTCTTCTACTCTATCATTCTCCCTTCTATTTTCAAGAGATCCTTCCCCTACCACCTTTTTTTTTTTTTGAAATATTTATATATAGAAATAGAGAATATAATACAACTAGACAAATAGCAATAAATTAAAGTAGGCTTAACATAACTATTCAAGGAAAAAGATGTTCACATAATCTCAGGAAGGAAAGACTAGCTTTTGCTACATATAAGAGACACATCTAGAGCAAAGTGACTTAGAAAGGTGACATTCAAAAGTGATGCTCATTGGTTTATCAGATCTACCAGACAGAGACAAAAACACCACCGGAGAGAGCATCCTCTTGTACCAACATTGGAGGATTCAGTTCCCAAAGCATTAATGAAAATGGAGAAAGCAATTTTATAAGGCTTAAGGTTCAATTTACAATAAAGATGTGTTAGTCATGTCTTTTATTTTCTGAACTTTATAATGCTTTTACATCTTGGAGTCTTGTTGACAGGGAGAATGTCCCCTCCAGGGTCAGTTAATTCCTAAAGACAGAAAGAGACTCCTCTGCAGGCCTGTGAACTTTTTATAGACAACAATCAATCCAAAGCCCACAATCCCTAATTGGGCTCCTTTATTGGTCTGTTCCATTCTTGTCCAATATTCCCTGGCTCTAATCACCCAAGGGCCAGGTACCAACAACCTGAACAGTTCTACCTTTGGAGCCTGCTGAAATTATTAGACTAGCTGATTCTAAACTGTGTATCCTGCCTTGCCCATTCCTCCCCACAGAAACCATTAAAATGGTTTTGTCTATGTTTTATTCTTACTCCCTCTTCCTCCTGACAGACCCTGGTGCTTCCCTGTGTGGCCCTGCATGATATGCTGTGCCTCCTGCTTCTAGGGAAAACTTCCTTTATGATACTTACTTCAGTATCTGCATATCTAATTAAAACAAATTTCAGGTATATATGCAAACAGAAGACATGTGAGGTATAGATATCTGCTTACTATATTAAGAAGTAAAAATTACCAGAAGACTCTGAGATAAACACATTGACATATACCTGTTACAGAGAGAATGTCATAGATAGCAGGACAGATTTTTTTTTTTTCAGTGCTGGGTATGGAACCCAGGGCCTTGCACACATTAGGCAAGTGGTCTACCACTGAGTTACACCCCCAGGGTGCAGGATAGATTCCAATGCAGTCACAATCAACCTCCAAAACCTGGGGGCAAAACGACAAAGGATTCATCTTTTCTTGTGCTACCCATTTACCATGCACTGGCCTAGCTCTGTGCCACCTTCTCACTTCAGGATTCAGGGTGATAGGGTGACCATTCTTCACTATGGCCTATCTTTTTGGAAGAGGGACAAAAAGCCAGAGAACATATCTTACCAATAGGAACACTCTTGTCCAGAAGTGACATCACTTCTCTAATAATCCATGACTAGAACTCATCACAGGGTCCTATCTAACCCTGGGGGCCAGGAAGGATGTCCTTCCATGTGCCCATAAGGGGTAGTCAGAGAGTAGGACAGTCTATGAACAGTACTGATGATAAATACATTGGATATAAAATTAATATATTTGAATAAAAAGGCCTTAATATATCAACATAATTGAAGAGAATAGTTCGTTCATAGTGGCAAAGATAAAACATTGAAGAATACATTTAAATGTATAAAACACATATGGGGACACTTATAATACTTCTGAAAGGCAGAAAAGTAAAACTGCATGTGCTGTGTCCTTAGTTTTTTTTTTTTTTTTTTTTTTTTTGGGGGGGGGTGGGGGGTTTGTACTAGGATTTATTGAATAATGAATTCCAGGTCTGCCAGGTTTCCTTACTTGCACTGCTGCTTTGGTTCACCCTCATCCTTAGTAACATCCTAACAGGCGAAGACTTTGCTGCTGAATCCCCAACCTGCCCATCCCTGGACCTAGACTTCCCTCTACCTCATTTCCAAATAAGCACTCAGTCACATGAAGCCACAGGAAGCCCTCAGGGCAAAAGCAGCTGTGCTTGCAGTCACCTTTCAGGTGAGGGCCAGGAGACACTGTCACTTCTACCATCTCCCTTAGTAGAAACAGAGGAGGTTGAGACATAGGCAAAGTCATTTGGGGCTTTTATGTAAATCTTAAATCCTGAATTAAGAATGCTCACTGTCTCTGAGAACCAAAACAAACCTACCTGCCCACTCAGGTTCCTAACATGAAGATACCTTTCTCTCTGCACTTCCCAGATGCTTCTAATAGGAATGTCCTGGAGGAGGCAGTGCCACTGCATGGGTGGCTCCTGGACAGTATGCAGCATAATGGAGGCCATGGTCTCCTCCTCTGCTTGGCTAGACATCCTCATTGCCTTGGCTGAAACGTGACCTTTGCCTCCTTGGAACCCCGGAACCCCCGTCATGGAGGTTAAGGAGCAGGCCACAGTGGGAGAAAGGCTAGTGTGGAGAGTGTCCAGTGTGGCCCTGGGAAGGCCCGGGAAGGTGGAATCAGGCAGAAGGCGGACAAACAAGCAGCCCAGGTACTTCTGGGGGATAGGCAGGACTTGTGCCAGCGTCTCACCCCTCTGGGATAAAGGGCTGAATCAGTTCTGGATCCAACAGCGACTCCTCAAGAGGCCGGTCAACATGGAAGTCATGGACATGAGGAGGTCCCAGGTGGGCCTTAGGAGCAGGCCCCCCTGGGTGCTGGGGAATTGGCAGCTCAAATGGGTGGACAGGAAGGGGAGCTGTGAAGAAGTATTGATGCAGGAGAGCCTGGGAGGCTGCAATGTGCTGGAAAGGAGGGTAGAGGAGGAACTGACCCAGCAGGTCCAAGGCCTGAAGAGAGGCGTCTGACAGGACCTCCTCCAGGGGCACTGGCGCCTGTTCCTTAAAGGAGATCTTGTTGTAGTCTGGCAGCTCTGTGATCTCTGGCCAGACTTGAGGGCTAGGGGTGCCCAAGATGCGAAGCACACAGCAAAGCTGTTCAATGTCGTTCTCTCCGGGGAAAAGAGGGGACCTATTCAATAACTCCCCCATGATGCAGCCCACAGCCCATAGGTCAACGCCCTGGTCATATTGGCGGGCACCATACAGGAGCTCAGGGGCTCGGTACCACCTGGTAGCCACCTGGTGTGTGTAGAGGCGGCTGCCATCAGGAGAAAAGATCCAGGCCAGACCAAAGTCTGCTATCTTGAACTGGCCTGAAGCATTGATGAGCAGATTGGCAGTTTTCAGATCCCGATGCACAATGTTGTTGGCATGGCAGAAGGCCACACCCTTGAGTAGCATTTGCAGGTAGCTCTTGACCTGTGCTGGAGCCAGCAGCCTCTGGGCATGCACACCACCTCTTCCAGGTCTGACAGCATGAACTCGAAGGCCAGTACAAAGCCTGCACCATGCGGGAACACGGCCTTCAGCTGCACCACATACTGATTATCCTCAATTTCCTGCAAAGCCTTGATCTCCCGCAGGGCCTGGTTGGGGATGCCATCCTCTAGCCGCCGCAGGGCCACCTTCTTGAGGGGAACGATCTCGCCAGTCTCTATGTGCTTGGCCTTGAAGATGACGCCGTGGGAGCCCTCCCCGATGCGGCCCAGGATGTAGTACTGGTCCATCAGCCCTTAGTTTTTAAGCCTCAATATCATAACCTCTTCTTGAGCTAACATATATTTAATATGATTCCAACATAAATAGTATTTTTCTTTAGAATCAGACATGCTGATTTTAATGTTCATTTGGAAAAATAAGCGAAAATAATCAGGTAATGTTTGAAAAAGAAGAGCAAAGAGAGGAGATGGACGCTCCCAGACATTGAAGCTCACTCTGCAGCCTCAGTACCTGGTCTATCCCTCAGGATCGGACATAAGGGAGCTACTGAAGAGCCCCAGAGACTCAATTACATGCAGAATGTCAAAAGACAAACGCTGATGGGGACAAATATTTGTAACTCATATCACATACAAGAGGCTTATTTCTGAAGTAGGTCAGTTCCCAGAAAAATCTATGGAGGAAATTCACAGACAGGAAGCTCGTGGGAGGTGAAGTTGGCAATGGCTGCTGACCCACAGGGACATGCAGAGCCTCTGCCAAGTTTATGGGCAGTGCAGAGCAGGGATGGCTCCTCACCTGGGTCCACACAGAGACATGAGTTTCCAGCATTTACACCAGATGAGAAACAGTATCTGAGATGGGTATAATCCCAGGGAGAACCTTGGGCCAGGTGACTTCTTTGGGGGAAAATGCTGATGAGGGACTGAACTGTGAGCCATCAGCAACACCTCTCCCAACTCAGGCTGGGAGGCCTGGGTTCCTCAATGAGGGATCTGAGCTCTGGAGAAAACATTACAATCCCTGCTTTTGTGAGTGTGTATGTGTGTGTTTTGTCCAGAAACAAACAAATAAAAATTAACAAAATCTTTGATTTTGAAATAATTTGAATGAATTAGCTATCTAAAATCAATAGTTAAAAAAAGTTTTAAAACTTAAGAATAAGGTTAAGATCCTAAGTATATTAGGCATAATAGAATGGGAACTTTTTCATAATATTGAGTTGGACACATTGCCAGAGCAAAGAGAGGAGATGGACGCTCCCAGACACTGAAGCTCACTCTGCCGCCTCAATACCTGATCTATGTACAAAAACTTCATCTGTATATTTTTTTCAGGCAACAATTTTGGATTCTATATCTGTTAAATACAGACAAAGAGTTCATGGGAAAATAACAAATGGCCCCTAAACACAGAAAAGATGCTTATAATTTCATCCACTAAAAGATATGCAAATTACAAATACATGGAAAAACCATTTTACAGATATCTAAATGGCAAAAAGCAATAGTTGGCAACCCACCTGGTTACCAGTCTGGATAAACAGGCTTGCGCATCCACTTGCTGGTGGCAGTGCACATTATAAATCCTTAGTATTCATCAAAGATACAGATGCTTTTATCCATGGCCCAGAAATTCCATTTCTTGGAATTTATCCTACAGAAATACCTGTATATATGTATACATGAAAATGAAGTATGTGCAATGTCACTGTAGCATTGTTTATAATGGCAAATAATGGAAATAAGCCAAGTGCCTATCTACAGAAAGAATATTTAAGTACACTGGAGTATGTGCTTCCTGACACAGTGTTATGCTAGTGTATGAAAGAATGAGGAAGCTGCATGGAAGGATAGTTATCCTACATTAAGGAGTAAAAATATTTATAATCTTACCTTGGAGTAAAGACAGAAATATGTACATATTCATTTTATACACACATACACACACAACACATAAATATACATGTGCATGCATATGTATATGTGTATATATATATTTGTTAATATCTGTATTTGTAAATGTATATACACACATGTATAGATACTTATATTTGCACATGCAAATGCTGGAAGAGTAAATAAGAAAGCAACACAGGTGGTGACCCAGGGGTCAGAGAACAGTGGGCACACAGGACAAAAAGAGGGCAGTATTTTCAATGTCTTCTTTTGATTTTGAAACAATTTAAATGAATTAGCTATCTAAAACCAATAGTAAAAAAAAAAGTTTTAAAACTTAAAAATGAGGAAGGTTTAAAATTCCAAGTATATTAGGTATAATAGAATGGGAACTTTTTCATAATATTGAGTTGGTCACATTGCCAGAAATAAAAAAAAAAAAAAACTTCATCCATATATTTTTTTCAGCAACAATTTTGGATTCTATAGCTGTTAAATACAGACAGAAATACAAAGAACCAGTTGAAATAATTGATCTCTAAATCAGCTGATATTGATAATGTTAGTACTAATTAGCTTATTTTTATAGAAATATGGAAAAAGAAATTATCCCAAAGTTTGCCCAAACTAATCTTCCAGTAGGTCCTAGGCTACTGCATGCTTGTGTATTCTGAACTGAAATGAGGTTACTGATGTTTTGTTTAAGAATTTTTAATAGAGAACACTTAAAAATTATTGGTGTCATTCTGTATTCCATGGCCAAATCTAGTGGTTAGTGTATGCAGTATATGTGGAAGGACAAGAGATTCGTGTTTGCTCTTTGACCCTCTATAATATAGATTTTGTGCACATCACTCTACTGACCAGTTATTTTCAAGACTTCTATATAGTAAATCCAAGGTCTTGGCTGCCATTCAATATAGCTAACTTCTACTACCTTTTTGATTCACTCTCTTCTTACTTATTCCAAGACAGTACCCTCTCCTAATCATCCTCTTATGTCAAAAGGCTGCTCTAGTACTTTCTATTTAATAGTGTCTCCTCCTCCTTCACCTCTGGATGTTGTCATTCCTTAGAGCTCAGGTCTGGACCAGATTCTATTGGGAAGCATTTGAAAGCATTTTTTTTAAATGTCTGACTTAAAAGCATGCATATTGAGGAGAACAGCTGACTTGTGCTGTTCGTCCCCATGGTTACTACCTTGAAAGTTGACATGGTACCTGGAGCTGTGGCAACCATCTTGTAAACATGAAGTAACAAGCATGGTCTGCTAGGCCACTAGCCAAGAACAGTTTGAATGAAAACAAATAAAAAACCTGAATAAGAGTCTGGATGAATTCCTGGCAGTAGTCACCTCTTCTCTTATTGTCAGAAAAGAAATATGTATGTATGTATGTATGTATATGCACGTGCGTGCACACACACATGCACACATTCAGATGCATCAAAATCTACCTGATCATTTAAAAAGAACTAGTGTACATATGTAATAGATTTGGGGAGATTTCAGGGAAGGACTGCTGAGTAAAAAGGGTAGTATGCTGCAAAATATGCTCAGTGCAATCCAGTCTAGCAAATCAAAGTGAACCCAGTCCTGTTTGACCCATGCTATGTCCTACCATGGTCAATTTTGTACAATTGAAGCATTTATCTAACCCCATCCCCTATCTCTACTTGCTGGCAGCTGACTCTTCCCAGAATCCTCTGCCCCTCAATTTATTTCCAGTGACACCCTCCAGCAAGGGATACTAGTGCAAGATCTGGAATGTGGAAGAGGACAGACTGCTTTTCTATGGAAGCAGTTGCAAGCACATACCTGGGCAAAGAGCAGATATGAGATTTGATGTAGGTTCCAGCAAACTCCTGTGAAACATCTGCTTTGGGAATCTAAGCCACTGAGACAGTGGTGGTAGAGGTGTCCCTTGGGACTCCCAAGGATTCCTTAATTACCAGTGAATGCCAGTGAACTTTCTGTTGGTAGCAAGGCTTTTCCATATTCCTGTATTTGCCCTGGTTGTGAAAACCTCAAGTTCCCCTTTCTCCTTGGAAGACCTAGAGCAGCTTCTATTTCCTTGAACAAATGCTGATGGATATAGAACATGGTTCTGTAAATGGTTTCAGAAACACAGAGATGAGATGAGATCCCTGATGATGGAAAGAATGGCATAGGACTTGCCCTTCTGGAAAGGAAAAAGGGTGAGATGGGCTTTTATCTGAGCTCCAGACTTGGCTGTGGAGCCAGAGTTTCCTTGACCTCCCTTAAGGAACCGCTTAGCTCTTCCAGCTATGGTGGCATTGATTCCAAAAGCTGACATTTTTGATATTGCAAGTTGCAGAATCATACAAGTTGAACTCAAAGCCTGTCTAGATCTCCTGTGAACACAGTAGGACCGTGATCAAGACAGCTGGATGGGATCCCAAGAATGTTTAGGTTGGTTCTGAGCAACCTGAAGACCTCAAATCCTTATCATCCTGAGTCCCTCTGGATGAGCAGAACAGTCCCTCATCACTTGCTAAGACCAGCGTCTCCTTGTCTGCTCTTTGTCTGAAGGCCTGGTAAGGACCACATCCGAGCAGATGTATGATGGGAAGATAATCAAGTCACCTTAAAACCTAGTGTATATATATATTTTGGTTACCAGATCCATAACTAGGAAGACAGGAAATATCAGACACATTGAAAGAATACCAAATTTTTTTTCCAGTAAAAATATGAAAAATGTATAGGAGTAGATTTACAAATGTTAAACCAGGACTTTTCATGCATAGCACCAGCAGAAACTAAAGCTGAGCCCTTTAGATATAAAGTTCTGGGTGCTGGCAGGGGGTGGGGGGGTGGCAGATGCAGTGGATGAAAATGTTACACACTTGTCACCAGATTCTTCAAAGGGCAGAGTTCCAGATCATGAGAGTTTATTTATTTCTTGCTTAGTTACTTATCTAGGGTATACATGAATCCCTTGTGCCCCTTTCCCATCTTTGCCATAGGACATAAGGTAGACAAGCAGGGATGGAGTTGTTAATTTACAGCTCTTTAAGTCACAGTTTACCAGAGTTGGGCTATGATCAAGCCAGGTGAGGAAGGAACAAAACTCAAAAAGGATTTAGTGACTTTTGGGACTCTGTATCTTCCCTTTTTAGTGAAAAGTGGGTGCATCTATGGGGGTTAGTGAGATATGAGGTCATTGCTCTTGCTTGCTAGTGTAAATATGGGTCCAAGGATATGGATGGATGAGAACATGACAAAAAGTGTGGGTAGCGCTAGAGAGCCTCTTACCAACTGGACCACTGTCCTTCCTGTGTCCTCCCCTTACCCCATTCTCCTCTGTGTAATTCAGGAGAAGCCTGGAATGGCACTTCCCAGATTGGTTTCCTGATAAGTTCCAGTTTTTAAATGAAAAGTG